GAATGCAATGGTTGTAAGTATTGCATTATCATGAAGGTTTTCAACAACAATTTTTCAAATTAAAATTCTTAGATGTGTGACCACAAGATGAGAATTAGAGCTGTTGACGCGCGATACGGTGGTGCATGCCATGATTCCCATGTATGGAACCTGTCCAGTGAGAGAAGGGCTTTAAAAGCTCGTTTTGATAATGGCGAGAGAGGGATATGGAGTCCTGGTTAGCATCAATTAATACTTTAATATCGATAATATATTAATATTTGCATTCAAATTATTTAAGGCGACTCAGGATATCCATTGGAACCATGGATGTTAACTCCCTATCGTAATGCCGCCGAAAATTCAGCGGGAGGCCGGTTTAATCACTGCCATGCCAAAGGACGGTCAATCATCGAACGAGTATTTGGAATATTGAAAGGAAGGTTTCGATGTCCTTTGGCAGCACGCGAGCTGCATTATACTCCGCAAAAGGTTTCAGCTATAATGAACGTTTGCTGCGCTTTGCACAACATTTGTCTGTAATTTAAAGCTGAGCTGCAACCTTCAGAAGATTTTCCCACAGAAGATGTACATTTATTAGAAACTGTGAATATGGTGGAAGCGGACAGCAAGAAGTACAGCAAATATTTCTAGGAACTTAAGAGATGAAATAAGAAACAGTTTAATTGCATAGGTGTAGCAAAATATTTTATTAATTCAAGTGTGTGTATACATAGTAGCTCAAAATCAAATCATAAAGTGATATTTTAACAATATTCGCAATGTTTTTAATTCTGAAATTTTTTTGTAAATATTTTAAAATAGTATAGCTGATTATCTAAAAAAAAATCGTATAAATCTAAGTTGTAAACTTGTGCCAAAATTAGGAAATATCAACAAATTTTCATACAAATTGCCAACTTTTTTACTAGAATTTCTTGACAAAAATTTGGCCTGTTAAACTTAAATATAATGTGGAAGTTCTAAGTCCATAAAAAATTCCGTTGATTTTTGATAACTTTCTTTGCTGACGGTCTTGGACATTTTTTTCCATACAAAGTATATATTTTTATATGGAAGAAAATGCACAACACCGCAAAGAAAGTTATCAAAAATCAACGGAATTTTTTATGGACTTCGAACTTCCACATTATATTTAAGTTTAACAGGCCAAATTTTTTTCAAGTAATTTTAGTAAAAAAGTTGGCTATTTGTATGAAAATTTGTTGATATTTTCCTAATTTTGACACAAGTTTACAACTTAGATTTCTATGATTTCTGTTAGATAATCAGCTTTACTTTTTTAAAAAATGTATTAAAAAAGTTTCAGAATTAAAAACATTGCGAATATTGTAAAAATATCAACAATAAATAAATAAAATAAAAGTATTTTTTCAGTCTTCATTTTATAAAATTACATATGTAAAACATTTCTAAGAACCTAAGACACAAAATATAGTTTAGTTTCATTGGTATATAAAAAAAATGTAAAAATATTCATTAGCCTTTTCATTCACAGGTAACAATTCAACAAAAAATTACATACAACTAATTCATTGATTGCTTGGATTTGAAATTATCATAAAAATAAAAAATATTCATTATTTTTGATTAATACAACCAAGCAACTGCTGTACCTTAATCTGCTATTTAAAAAATAAATAACTTAAAAAACAATTCATCAGTCTTCAAAGGAACAAAAAACTTATAAAATATGAATTCGTAAAAATAACTACACTTAAATCAGCTATTTACAAAGTTTAGCTTTTAGCTTCAGTGCTTTTAACTTCAGTTTTCTTTTCTTTTTTTCATTTTTTTTGAAAAATTCAAATTTTTCTCGTTTTAATTGAAGTTAAGCCTCTTCGAGCTCAACATTCCTCTTAAAATATCTACTTAAACTATTTAAATTATCACATACTTCGTCCAGCTTTTTCATCGAATTTTCGTGATATTGGCATTGGTTTTCCACTTGCAGTTTTAGCAAATTGTCTTTGCCGAGTGATAGTGAGCGTGCGCGATTCGGGGGTGCAATAACAATCGGTGGCGTAGTGGCGATAGCATTCGGTGGCTGATTCTCTGCATCATTACTTGGATATTCTTCAGGCTCCAAGTTTATACAATCAAGTGGGCTAGATGATGCAGGATCGGCGAAGGTAGTAGCACCAAAGCGCATTGTTTCAGCCTCGCCATTTATAGATGCATCTATGTTCAGTAACGCAACCACTTCTTCTTCCGTCGCAGTTAATGAACAGAATCTCGATGGTCCACCTCCTGTTCCCGACATGCTCTCCTTATTCCTTCGCAACTTCGCCTTAATATTGCTTTTATAATCTGCCCATATCTACATAAAAAAAATTATAACGTTTTACAATATGGTACACAAAAACATAATAAATTTGTTACCTTTTACCATTCAGTGAAGTTATGAGTTGGAGGTCCGCCTGAATTAAGCTCATTTTCTAGCCTCTTCCACAGATTATTAGAGGTTTGCTTTGCAGCTAAACTCTTAATTTGACCTTTCGCCAAATCGCTGTGTTCCATCATGAAATTTACCAATATTTCAAATTGTCGAGGCTTGGTATTTGGTTGTTTGATTTTCGTTGTCCTAAAAATTATTTTTTGATTAAATGAATACATATTTTCACAAATATTATTGCAATTACTTATATGTTTGCGGACGTCCGAGTGCTTGGTTGCTGTCGAATAGAATTTTCTACAATTCCACCATTTTGACATTTGCTTTCGATGCAGGGAGTACCAAACTTCCGAAAATTCGAAAGGGGATAAAAAAAATTCGAAGGGAACAGAATGGAACTCGAACATCGAACGAATGTTACTCTAAGGGTGCTTTTAGAGTACCAATCGTTCGAAAGCGAACAAATTTTCTTTCGAATCGAACTACAGAGTAAGGGCCCAGTACCTTTGCAAGCAAAAGAGTGCAAACAAAACGATTTATGTTTCGTTGCTTGACGAGCATAGCTAGATCGTTTCAAACGATTCGTTTTCTTACACATGAAGAGCGTATACCAGCTATCAGTGTTGCCAAGTGTTGAATTTGAAAAAGCACCAAAACCAAAGAAAAATCGCGTTTTTTTTTCGAAAAAAGCACCACATTTTTTATTTGAGGATTTAATGAACTTTGTATGCATACACAATTTTTTTGTAGGTATGCCGATTCAAATTAATAAAAATTAATGCTTCCTGCTCGGCGGTCGAAGGTTCGTTATTCATTTTACTGTTAGGAGATGCTGGTGCTTTTTTTAATATTCGTAAAAAATATAACAAATTCTGCCCAAATTAAAGGTCTAGAGATCGATTCCTGGTCCCAGCAACATGGACGTTTTTGGAGGCAATGGCAAATTACCGTATTTAATTCTGGCATGATTGAGAGTGCTGCCACATATTTTTTTGAAAAGCATATGCTCTTTCGTTTATGATTATCATTGTACCATGATTTTATTTCCATTTTTGTAAAGTTCCTTACGAAACTTCCAATTGCTCTAAATTTAACTTCCATTTTTGTTTCAGATTTACAGTTTTGGTGTCTTCAAACTAAAAAGAAAAGCACAAAAAAACGCACCGAGCACCAAACTCAAAAATTTTGGCGTTTTGAATTAAGAAAAGCACTAAATTTAGTGCGAAAAGCAATAAGCTGGCAACAGTGCCAGCTATGCCCTACTTACATATGCAAAGTATGTACATATGTATGTATAGTATACAAAACGCAACAATGAGAGTAATTGCAAAACCAAATACCATAGAAATCATGCAGGAATTGAAACATGCAACTTCTTAGTTTTTTATGCTGTTAGTTAGTTGGCAGTTAGTTCGCAAACGTTAAGGGCCGTTTGCACCATGTCTAGTTAATTCTAACTCCCAGTTAAACATCTTTATCGACGTTATCGACACCCATCATATAACATGTGATCGATAAAGCAGTTAACGTGCTTAACTGAAGGATGTACCTCCAGTTAGCGTTAACTAGACATGGTGCAAACGGCCCTAAGAATTATTCCTGAGAATTTTGCCTCACCCAGCTGCTCACTTTAGGTAGAACAAAACCCAATTAAACTACAGTCAATAAGATTCATTTCATTTATTTTCGAACTCTGGTAATGAGCAAATCGCCGAGCAAACGTTTGCGAATCATTCCTGAGAGTTTTGTCTCACCCAGTTGCGCACTTTATGCTTTTGCTTCGTTTGCACTCGCGCACAAAAACAGAACAAAACCCAACCCTACTAAAATTTTCTTTGTTTGAGTTTCGGTTGCGTTTTGCTCTCTGTTATGAGAGAAACGAAACAAAACAATACGATTTATTTCGTTTATTTTCGAACTCTGGTTTTAAGTCACCTCTTGACAGTTTTTAATCAACAATGAAACGTAACAAAGTTCAACAATCAATAATCTCGTTCTTCAAAAAAACCGAAGGCACAAATCGACGCCATTGAAGAAAATCTCGACGGTAAGTAGAGTGATGTGCATACTTACGTGTTAATGTATTACGTGTTAATGTATTAAGTTTTAATGTATATCAATTTCTACACAAATTTGCATTAATTTTGTATAAAATAGTTAATGCTTATTTTTCACTTAACTGCGGACACAGCTGCGTGCTAATTCAATGCATAGCCTGCCATGTGCAGGCCTTAGCAGCAACTTACATGATAAGCATTTTGTCAGGGATATTTTGCAATCAAAGCACATGCAATATTTCATAGTGAATGCCACAGCCATCACCGAGGAATAATAATGAATTGGATAACTTCAAAATTAAAGACCAAAATGAATAAAAGGAATGATTCCAGTTTAAAGTGATAGTCAGATATTTCTTACTTCTATAAGTGCTTGTTCAGTGGTAATTTTAAAAATTTATACAACTTTTGAATTTACTACTGCTTTCATACAAACCTGAACAGATGTGATAAAAACAGTATTCTACATCAGTTATTTGCAACCCTGTGCGTCTTTTTTCAGAAGAGCATCTTCACAGATACGGAAATAATGACGATAGTAACCGCAGTTCTAGAGTCGAAGTTACATCTGGATCGAATAATTCTGCTCCGAATGATCGCGAAAAAGGTGGGTACATTATATTACAATAATACACAGATATCATATTTCGTACAGTTTTTACTAAAATGATGTGAACTTATGTTTTGATTTCGCAGATGAGGATGCAATATTACCTTCAGTTATTGATGACGGCCAATCAGAAAAATTTAACCATGACAGCGATCAAGACATAGTTGCGACTCTATGGCAAGCTAACCAATTCGATATTGGAAAAGCAAATCGTGATTCTCTGGATGATATTACCAAAAAATATATACTCACGTCGCTTTTACTTCCGAAATTGCCTCACAAGTTTCCCGTTACAGCAGGCAAATCCGGTAATAGAAGTTTCCAACCGACATGGATCACTGAAAATGGCTTTGATTTTTTGGCTTACTCAACGAGTGAAGAGGAGGTCTATTGCAAAAAATGCTGGTTATTCTATCATGAAGGAGTTGGTAAAGGATATCATCAGAATCCAGGTAAATTAGTCACTACTAGTTGTCGGGATTGGAAGAAAGCCATCGAATTATTCAAAAAGCACAAGAAAAAGGAATATCATGAAGTATGCGATACACGAGGCACATTATTTCTCAATGTGGCGTCTGGTAAGCAGCTTGATATTTTTTCACAATTAGATATTCAACGTGCCAACGGGAAAGAAGAGAACAGGGCAACTTTAAGACCAATTATTGAGACAGTGCTATTTTGCGGAGAGCAGGAATTACCTGTAAGAGGAGATAATGATAGCGGTACTTTCCCTTTAGAACGGCCTGAAAAAAAATATGGAACGTTTCGGGCTCTTTTACGTTTTAAAATCAAATCGGGAGATAGGGAATTAAAAAAGCATATCACAAACAGTGCAAAAAACGCCACTTATTTGAGCCCTGAAATGCAAAATGAAATTATACAAACAGCTTCCGATATCGTTACTGAAAAAATTATAAATAAAGTTTACAACACTGACTGCTTCAGTATTCTTGGAGATGAAACAATGGATGTTCGGGCACTGAGCAACTATCAATATGTCTGCGGTGTGTGGATTTTACAAAGGACTCGTCCACTCCAGTATTAAGAGAAGATTTTGTTGGTTTTGTCCCCATAGATGATCAATGTTCCGAGAATCTTAGTAACGTTATTCTGCAGCGATGTGAGGAGCTTAAACTAGACATGAATAAGTGTGTCGGACAAGGATACGATGGAGCCGCAAATATGGCAGGTCATTTGAGGGGAGTTCAGAAAAGAATCAAAAACCAATATCATAACGCAAGATATTATCACTGTGCAAGTCACCGTTTGAATCTTGCTGTTGCGAATGCAATGTCGATCCCTGTGATCCGTAACTGTCATGGAGTTGTAGGTCAAATTATAAATTTATTTAGAAACACTTCAAACGCAAACAAGATCTTCCAGCAAAGCGAACAAAAGTATGCTCCGGACAGTAAAAAAAGCGACTGCTCCGCCTTTGTGAAACTAGATTTATTGAAAAACATGAGAGTATAATCTCATTCATGGAACTTTTCGAATGCATTGCCATCAGTCTGGAGGAAATAGCTGGCAAAACATGGTCTGTATCTTCCACAGCATCTGCTCTTTTTGCTGCGATTCAAAAAAGTGACTTTATCGTGGGTCTTTTGGTATATGAAAAACTGCTAAGTTTAACTCTACCACTGTCAGTATTTCTGCAGGAAAAGTTTTTGGATTTCATCTCCGCTATAAATCGCACGAAAGAAATAATACAGTCGTTGCGGGACATTAGAGAATCTGCTGATGATTTCTTTGGACAAATCTTCTCTTCCGCATCAAACCTAGCTGAAAACTTTTTTGACAGCGAAATCCGTGCTCCTAGAGTTGTATCACGTCAAACAAACCGTGCCAGTCCGCAAACTGCATCGAGCGAACCTTACTTCAGAATTACAGTATTCCTTCCGTGCATTGACTCCTTAGCTGAAAATTTAACGGAACGATTCCTCGAAAACGAAGATGTTTTACCGACGTTCCAACTTCTCCTCCCAGGATTTGCTGATGTAAGTAAAGCAGATGAGCTAGACAACTTAGCATCATACTTTGAAGATCAGATGTCGTCAACGGCAGTGAAAGCAGAATACAGGTTGTGGTGCGCAAAAATATCGTCCATTGACAAATCATCCGAGGTTTCGAAACTGTTGGAGTATTGCAAAGGAAATTATTTCCGCGGTATGAAACTTCTTCTCACCATTTTAGCCACTCTGCCAGTGACAACGGCTAGCGTAGAACGATCATTCTCTACCATGAAAAGGATCTAAACTTTACCTCGAAGTGTAATGGGTCATGAGAGATTAAGTTCTCTCGCTATGATCTCCATTCACTGGGATATTGCTGTCGATCCTGACCACGTCATAGACATCTCATCGAAGAAAAAAGCTAGAAGATTACTTCTCTGATTGAAAAAGAGAAAAATTATATTAAAATTTGTACCTCGTTATACCTATATACATGAAAATAA